ATTCATTCTTTAAAAGAAAATGATACAGATTTTTGTTTTAGTTAATGATATTTTGGGTGAAGGAATGTCTTTGGGGAAAAATGAGAGAATGAGATTAACAGAAGAATGGGCTGATGTATGTAAAAAACTCAATTTACATCTTATGGTACAAGTTGGAGGAGCACCTTTAAAAGATGTGCAAGAAATGGTATTTCCTTTTTATTATTTTGTAATAATAATAAACATTTATGCAATGTTGAAATGAACATATATATTTAACAAGTATTGGTAACTCAATTTTGAAGAAAAATTCATTTAATTACATGAATAGTAGTTATAGACGGAGGGTATATGTAAGTTACCGAGTATTTATGAATTAACCAATCAGAAGCGGTGAATTAAAGTGTAACATTTAATACATTTTTTTTTACAAATTCTGTTATTATTCATCTAAATTATTGTAGTTAATACAGTTGTTTCTCATATTATGTAGGGGTACATTAGTAAAATAAGCATTATATTACGGTTAAATGTGTAACCTGTATACGTTTGTGAAAAATAAGGTTATGTTTTTGTTTTTGTGTCATTCAAATTTAGCTAATAAAATAAAATAATTGCGAAGTTTATTAATTTGTAGCTAAACATTAGGACTGCCAATATTTATAAAAATGGCTAGTGACAAAGACGACAATTCAGAGATTGAAGATCATACAGACAAAATAGAAATAGTGGTAGTAAACAATTCTGAAGAAGAAAGTAAAGCCCAAGAGGTTTCTAAAACAACAATAAAAGACATATTTTCTGGTTTTAAACCGAAAAAAGAAACTGATAATGATGAATGGAGTCCCGATGAAAATGAAGAGGAAGATGATGAGTTTGAGGAAGAGGAAGAGTTAGAAAATGAAACTCCACGGAAAAGGAGTAGAAAACGTGAAGCCAACACTTCTAAGACTGATGATAAAGCTAACAAGAAACGAATTTATATGCAGAGATATCGTAAGGAATGGGAAAATATCCCAGCTTATAAACCATGGTTATCAGAAAGTGTAAGAGGAAATTTATACTTTTATTGTAAATTTTGTAAAAAAGACAATAAGTGTGGAAAATTAGTAATAGAAAAACACATGACTTCTCAAAAGCACATAAGAAATTCCGTGCAAAAACAAAATAAAGTACAGGTGAGATAGTGTAATCATAATTTGTTTATGATGGACATTAATTCATATTTTCATCTTAGAGAAAGTTTACTTTTCGAGGGCTACTCTGTCCAGTTTTTACACCATTTGAAGATAGAAGGTGTATTCTTGCATAAATATAGTCAAAATTTTTCTACTTATTTAATTATATGTAATTTTTTAGGGAAACTGAAATAAATTATGCTGTAATTCCTGATTATGCAAAATATTTGAAGGCTTGTGGAGTTAAAGGAGTGTTAAGTATGTTTTATATCAAATATTATAAAAACAGGATGGTAGGAAATTCATATTAAATAACACTTTCAAATTACAAAAGGACAAAATTTTCAATTATTAGAACATATTCTTTTCCGTAGATTAATATTCATTCTTTAAAAGAAAATGATACAGATTTTTGTTTTAGTTAATGATATTTTGGGTGAAGGAATGTCTTTGGGGAAAAATGAGAGAATGAGATTAACAGAAGAANAAAATTTTCCTGAGAGCGTCTAGTTATTTTTTAAATAAATAATTTTATTTTTTTATCTTATCAGAATTCTTTTCTTTTTTTACAAATTAGTGGTACACTAGTAGATACTTAATTGAATCCTTCCACATCACAAGCACTGATTTATCACCACTTAGAATACCAAATTAATTTTAATTTACCACCACTTCACTCGCCACTGATGTGTCCTTGGTCAAATTTGTTGTTTTGTTTTAATTTCTTTTAAGATAAGTAAAATCTGTTTGTATTTTTTTGCGTCGAACAATTAAAAAAATTACCTGTTCAATGGATGATATCTACGAATTTTGTCTTTGACTGTGATGCATTATACATTAATGGAGATTTAATTTGCATAAATAGGTCAGAGTATTGTACACCTCGACAACCAGTTCGTTGGTTTTCGTTGGGGTTCGGCTGCCTTAAGCTGATGACCTTTTGGAGGATTGCTTGCCTCCTAAACATACAAACATATTATCAATAATTATATAAAGTAATCTTCATGATTTTAAGTAGAAAGTAAAGAAAAAATAAATTTCAATTTCGGTTTCGATATTCGAGAATTGGTGGAATCGTTTATCCGACGTTTCGCCAGAACTGTGGGTGGCATCTTCATGAAACACGAGTTTCAGCATAATAGCAGCGAAAGGTTTTCCGCCCTTATTCCGATTCGTGAAGATGCCAATCACTGCAACTACCAAAACGTCGAATAAAACCAATGCATCTACTATAGAAGGATGAGAACCGACACTAGATCAACACCGTCAAATCGAGCCCTTTTCAGATACTTAACGGCGGTCATGTAAGCGTTAGCCTTTTCAAATCAATAATTTTATTTTTTTATCTTATCAGAATTCTTTTCTTTTTTTACAAATTAGTGGTACACTAGTAGATACTTAATTGAATCCTTCCACATCACAAGCACTGATTTATCACCACTTAGAATACCAAATTAATTTTAATTTACCACCACTTCACTCGCCACTGATGTGTCCTTGGTCAAATTTGTTGTTTTGTTTTAATTTCTTTTAAGATAAGTAAAATCTGTTTGTATTTTTTTGCGTCGAACAATTAAAAAAATTACCTGTTCAATGGATGATATCTACGAATTTTGTCTTTGACTGTGATGCATTATACATTAATGGAGATTTAATTTGCATAAATAGGTCAGAGTATTGTACACCTCGACAACCAGTTCGTTGGTTTTCGTTGGGGTTCGGCTGCCTTAAGCTGATGACCTTTTGGAGGATTGCTTGCCTCCTAAACATACAAACATATTATCAATAATTATATAAAGTAATCTTCATGATTTTAAGTAGAAAGTAAAGAAAAAATAAATTTCAATTTCGGTTTCGATATTCGAGAATTGGTGGAATCGTTTATCCGACGTTTCGCCAGAACTGTGGGTGGCATCTTCATGAAACACGAGTTTCAGCATAATAGCAGCGAAAGGTTTTCCGCCCTTATTCCGATTCGTGAAGATGCCAATCACTGCAACTACCAAAACGTCGAATAAAACCAATGCATCTACTATAGAAGGATGAGAACCGACACTAGATCAACACCGTCAAATCGAGCCCTTTTCAGATACTTAACGGCGGTCATGTAAGCGTTAGCCTTTTCAAATCAATAATTTTATTTTTTCCTGCTATCCATACATTTTTTTGAGTTAATATTTTCATTAAAACAAAAATGTTTTCCTTATAAAAACCAAATAACAGTAAAGGAGAAGTATTAACATATACACATTTATTTTTCTTGCTAAATCATGCATAATAAAAACACAATTTATATACTCTCTTAGAAAATTCCTCAAAAATAGATGTAATATTTTGTAACAAAACAAATTAAAAAAAGGCATAATTTCCTCATTAATACTAATTTACACCACAAGCATAATTAAGTTATATCCAAGTTTCATATTACAAAAGATCATGCAAAATAAAATGCTTAGTGTACAGACAATCACATCAGTCATGCACCTTTACTCAACATGAAAATATTTGGAAACCGTTGACTGTAATCAGAAATATTTCATTATAAGCGAAACCATTTTTATAATATCAGTTAGATATGCAAGATTTAGTAAGCAATTATATTGAAGTCACATTATTTTTGTATCATTAAAATGAAAGATTGTTGAACTGTTAAATTAATCATGTAAGTTCCATTAAACATGAAAATCGTCAAACAAAGCAAAACAGATTATAATAGCATGCAGCCGCGAGACATGCCAAAGATATAAAACCATCATTACCTTCTGCAGACCCAAACAAGGAATGAAAAGAGAAAACAATCAATTAGTATATTTTGCAAGATTTGAATATTGGTGCTTTTATAATTAAACATTAGTCAAAGAAATTGAACTTCAGCA